TATTTGCAAAAAATAAAATGTAAACTCGGTGAGTGAGACTAGGAAAATAAATTAATGCTAATGTACTCGTAGGGTTGACATTATGACATTATTAACTAGGCATTGTGCATTACGTGAGAGTGGGTCAGTATAAAAGGATTGTTGAATAAAGCACTGTACAGTGTAACGTACGGACTGAGGAGACTCTGTCACTGTGTGAAGCAAAAGGCCATGGTTTTTTTACTTTGAAACTCTGTTCCGTCGAGGAAGATCGAGTACAGCAGAATCCTTCGCTAGGCCTGTATTACGTGTCTGTGTATTACCTGTGTCTTTGGTCTCTCGACCAAGCAAAAGATTTGGCATAGAGAGCTGTTGAAGGACAGAAAACGTTGGCATGACGATGTGGACTGATGAATTTAGGAAAATGATTATTTCAGAATCTCTTCCATCAATTTCACAAAATATATTGATTCAGACTTTTGAAATTTAATCCAACAGTTAAATACAAAAAAAAAATTAAAAGTTATAATAACTTTATCCGTTTAATTAAATTTCAAAATTTCGAATTAATGAATTTGGTAAAATGAATCTGGAGATGCTCGCTTTCCATGAATTTATATACCCATGTTTGATTCCTATATGAGCTAGGGAGCAGTAACTTAGCTAGCTAGGGAGCAGTTTCATGACAAATATAATCTTACGTACCTCCGTAGAGGCACTTCTATGAAACCGCTTCTGTCATATATATAGACTTTGGTTGTGTTTGTCGTGTTATTTTTGTATTGTATTTATTGTCTTAATAGATTGTATTGTGTCAAATTGGTTATTTTAACGATTTTTTAACATGTGATCTAATAATGACTCAACTCGTTAATGAATTGATTCAAAATTTATTATTTTCATGTCGTTTTGTTCGAATTAACGGGTTATGCAAAAAACTATCATGTCAAATATTACAGACCTAGAAAACGGATCGTATTAGTGTCATACCCATTATTTTAACGGGTTTTTGACATGTGACGTGATAACAACCTAACTTAGTAACAAGTGACTTAATAACAACTCGACTCATTAACGAGTTGAATCAAAATTTCTTATTTTTTGTGCCATATTAAGTGCAGGTCATGCAAGAAAATATCATACCTACTTACCAAATATCACACTGTCAAGTAGAGTCCCATACACATAATTTTTTATTATTAGTGGTGAAAACGTCTCCTTTGCAGAAATCTGACCCAAGGCCCCGTACATCTACAAATTCCAGTTTCGAGATGATCATGATTATCAAATAACCCTACTTCTATGAAGAATATTGACAAATAATTAGGGGCTTGCTTTGTTGAATTACCTCCCAACCTCTGTAGTTGGATTTGTTATTATTAGTCAAGTTTCATGTATAATTTTAAGACGAAACTCTAAATTTACTAGTAATTTGTAAATTAAATTAATTAGACTAGTATTGGCTGTTATTTATAAACTCTACATTATTGTTATTGGTATATATTATATTCCTCCAGTATTTTAGTCAATAGGAAGAAATGTGAGCCTGTTGGATTGTAGCTATATATGGTGGTGCATACTGCTGCTGAAGCTCGAGGGAGGTTTGGTCACATCTGTGTGCAGCTGGGCCCCTTACTTTTTAGTTTTTACTACCACATTTGTTCTCCACCTGAATTATTCATATGGAGTAAATATTATTTTGGAAAATCCCTATCAATTTAGAGAAATCCTTGGTGGTCCGACAGATTATTGGAGAATTTGGGTAGCTCAAGCTTGCATGCCATATGCCCTGTCAAAATTAAGACTTAATACATGGATACTGTCAGGGGCCTGTGTAGTGAAATGACAGAGAGATATATATGCTTATTTTTCAACAGTGTTTTTTCTTAAACCAAGCACAATAAGAGATGTCAATCAGAATAAACACTTTTAGGAAAGAAAAATCGAATTTACACTTTTGTTAATAAACCCAAAAAATTCAAAATGGTGCTTTGTCTTTTAAAAGTAACGATCTAAATGCCCCAAGTAGAAAGTGAGAAAATGTTTGAAATTCTCAATTCAAGTTCAAACTTTAATGAATATATTCTTTTAGGTTGTGAACTCTGTTTTGGCGTACCATTTAACTTGGAAGTCAAAACTACACCTCAAATTATAGTTAATTAATTATTGTACTTCTAATAGGAATGTAATTCCCTGTTGTAAATAAGGATTATATGTGCAGTATAAAATGCTTTATGAATGGATCATTAACTTGGAGATCATGGGGCCTCTAATACCTAATAAAATTCCTTATTAAACAGAAAAATGGGTTCAATGGGATTGTTATTCAAAACTAAAAAGAATACTTCAATGTCGAATATATAGGGAAGTTGGCTCCTGCCTCCTGGTTGTCGTAAATGTCACCTTGCCCAAATTGGCATTTGCTGCTCATATGGTTTGGTTTGGTTACGTAGCAGTAATCTTAACCTAATCGACATGCACAGCAGAACAACTTTAAATAATTGCCTACCCTCTTTTTGGATTAATTTTGCTTTTGGAATCCCTAGTTACACCTTTTCCCCTTTAAATCAAGCACGTAAGGATTATATAATTCTTGCCCTTGATTAATCATCCGAAAGTAGAGTTAAAGGAGCTTGCTTTTGTTTGAAAATTACCCTCCACATCAGCAATTGGTGAAAAACGTACCCCATAATAAAGAAAAAGATAGTTAGATGAGTCAAAGTGAGTAAGTGATCATTGTTACTCTATATTGAGGTCAAATTAAACATCCTAAACTCTCACGTTAATAAGGTATGTCTCGCCTCTAATGAGCGAGTAGTAAATCACCTTGTATAATAAGAAGAATATTATGTTAGGTAACTAAGGAGATCATTCAGTTGGTAATGATATAATTCCAGAACCAATTGATCTGGTTGAAAGCTCGCTAGTGAGAATGTATTCACCATATATCATCATTGCTCAGTGGGAATACTGTTTACCAAGCATGCAAACGAAAGGTAGCTAATGACATTGACACTTGTGATATGCTAACCACCAACCATTTTATGCGATTTTTTTTGTCGGACCATTTTATGCTCTTTAAAATCGAGAAATTTGAATGTGTATCTTCAATTCTTGTCTGAATTTGTACTTCTTCACGCCTTATTAAATTGGCAAACGACATAGTTGAAGTGTCTAATTTTTAGAGTACAGTAGTAAAAAACAAATACATTTGTTGGAAATAAAATTATACAAATAAAAAGATAAGACAATTAGAGGAGAAATTAGATGTCTATTATTCTCATTAAACTTAGGGTTTACTTGAAAACAAAACGCAGGTTTCCTTGTTTACATTATTAAAGAACTAAATTATAAGATATCACATATTCATAAATAGTCACACAATTGACAAAATACACAATAACATATTATAGTTTAAATAAAATTATAATACTACGTGATGATATTTTATGTGCACGCAAAACCCTTTCATTTATATTCATATCTGCCTCTTTTCCTACCTCATCTGACAATTAATTGGAACAAATTTTATCATAACATTATTCTGAACTTTTTATTTTTTTCATTTTTCTTACGACAAAGTGTTTGATAAACATATAAAATAAGTCAAATTCCAATTCTAAGCGATCGAAGAAATTGAAAGTAGAATAAAGTGAATAATATATGTAGTTGTACAATTTGGATTCTAACAAAGTACAAACTTTTGTAAAATCATAATTGTACAATCAAATATAATGATATAGCGTTTAGGGTTACGAACTTTACATATATGCTACATATTATTCGTGGGGAGGCCTTTTTTATTTAAAAAAAAAAGGAATTAGTTGGGCCTACATCTTATCGAACTTTAACGATTCAAAATTTTATTTTTCAAGTTACACCTCTTAGATCATCCTCATAAAATATTAGTCAAATCGAAAATATTTGAGACATCTATTAAATTTAAAGAAATTGACAAACACTTTGCTCTATAAGAGACAATGAAATTTGATAATCAAATAGACAAATAGTTTCATATTGAATTCAATTCTTGCAAGGATGATCTATGAATGAAGACATAGAAAATAGACGGTTCAGATCATTAAAGTTAGATATAAAGTGTGTTTCATAATTAATCCCCATTTTTTAAAAATGGGAATCCATTATTTTAAGAGAGTTTTAACGAAAAGCCTGCGGTGCTGTTCACTTTAACGAAAAACCACATTTTTACACTAAAAAGTCAAACATGGTATTATTCACTTTACCTTTTATTTTGTCCTTATCATTAAAACTCAAAGTTTTCAAGCTCTTTTCATTAGTTTTCTCTTATTTTAAAGGATGTTATTTGTGGATTAAAATCACACATTGGTAACATTTTTCTATTGAACATGTTTTACTTTTTGGTAACAGAAGAAGGGTCGGGACACTTAGTTTTGTTAATGACATGAAAATTGATAATTAAATTATTACTTAAATGTTGAATAACATTCTTATTTCTTATTAATGATATATTATTAAATTATTAAATTTGATCTACAATACCGTGTTACTCAGCAGAACAAAGAAAAAAAAAACAGAGAAGAATAACAGTACAAGATTCTTTCTCGTTTATATACTCATACTTTCAATTGGCTGTTATAATAATTATGGAAAAATGAATAAAGGAAGAAAACTTCGTAAAGCGAGAAGTGAAGAAGGAAAAAGATGAGGCTGGACCGGAGAATGCCAAAAACAAAAACAAAATAAATTCAGAAAACCTTTCCTTCATCACACACACAGTGACATAGTCCTCTGTTCCCGCGTTCTTACGTGCGTCATCACCACCCAATTACGGAATACAAAATATTTAAGAAATATATATTCGATTCTAAACACAAATAATTTCAAAAAGAAAGAGGAAATTATAAGACAGTGAAAAGGACAAGAGCCAAAAACCTGTCAGAAATATCTGCCACCACAGTTAGTTCAATTATTACCGGAATAGCCGGTGGTCGTCCGGTTTCTCGAAACCCTATGCTTCCAGCTCCTGCAGGCCCTCCCCCCCCCCCCCCCCCTTCCTCTCTCTCGTTCTATGTGCTCAGAGATGCAGAGTTTTAGAGAGAAATAGAAACCGACTGTAACAAGATTTTGTTATTGTGCAAAATCTGTGTGTGAGTGAGTGACTGCTGTACTTACTCAACTATCTCTGAGTTTATATGAGGATGCGTGAAGTGAAGCAAAAACACAAATCCACGTCTCACTCTCTCTCTCTCTCTCTCTCTCTCTCTTTCTCTCTCTCTCCCTCCTGTGCAAGCCATGCTTTGATGTTGTTGTTGCTCAGTAGATGAAGATCATCATCTTTCCATCATCATGATAAGATAGCCTAGCCTCTCCTTTTCCACTATTTTCTCTCCACCCACAAGATTAATAGCCACATAGATTAAAAAAAAAAAAAAAAAAAAAATTTAGCCACACCCATCTCTCTCTCTCTCTCTCTCTCTCTCTCTCTCTCTAAAGAGCTTTTTCCACTCATGGCTGAGGGTTTCGAACCCTACCATGTGCCTCAACAGAGCAGAAGGGACAAGCTCAGGGTCCTGGCGGGTCAAACCCAACCGGGTTGCCTCCAACCCGGATCACCATCTCCTCCTCCTCCACATCTCCACCACGCTTTGCTCCCTCTTTCATACGATCCCACCACCACCTTCATCTCCTCTTCCTCAGGTTTGCTCACGTGCGCCGACCCCGCCGTGAAAGAAGAGGGTAGTCATCATCACGTGATCGACCACTTGATGGGTTTTGCTTCCAATTCCACCTCTTCTACTTTTCGCCACAACAACCACCACCATCCCTACATGGATCCACAATTCCCTCTCACTCCCACCGCCGCCGTTCAAGAAATCAACGCCAACCCATTTCTGTACCCCCCTCAAAACCTCCACCCCCTCAGAGATTTCGACCACCAGCAACCTCCCTACGACAATCAAGTAGTCGTCTTCAAACCAGAGCCTCTCTCTTTGTCCCTCTCTTCTTCCCAACCCACCAACCAGCACACCCAGCAAACCCAGAACAACACAAACAACAACAATCTCCAGAGATTTTCTTCGCCTGGGATTAATTATGATTCACTCCATTCTGGCGTTAGTGTTGCTTTTGTCCCTTTTGGACCGTTCACGGGGTACGCTTCGATTCTGAAGGGATCTAGGTTTTTAAAGCCGGCGCAGCATTTGCTGGAGGAGTTTTGCGATGTGGGCAGTCGTGAAATTTACAGCGCAAAAGTCTTGCCGCTGGAGGATTCCTCCTTTTTTGACCCTCCTATTGAGAGCTTTGGTGACGACGACTCACAGATGGCTGGGGGAGACGGCGGTGAGAGTAGAAGGCAAAATTCCAGACTAATTTCCATGCTCGACGAGGTATGCAATTAGTTTTAACTACATTTTTAATTTACTTTTTATAAGCGATTTTCATTGAATTTATTTAAACTACGTAAAAAGATTTGACCTCAGAGAAGAGCATACTGCCACTCACATTTTAATTATTTCACGTTTCAGTTTTTGTTTTGCCCAAGATTTGTTTTATGATATAATTTTGGACAGACGTTTGTTACTGTATGTTGTGCATTATATGATTTGATTGTTCATTGGTTTTTGGTCAAAGTACAAACATGCGGTTCTTAACTTGGTACTGTTAATTAACATGAACTAATTAGGGTTAATTTACAACTAATTTGTGTGTTTATAGAATTAATAGTGGATTATGAGATTCTTGCATTAAAGGAGAGATTGGTGAGTGTAAAAACAAAAAATCGTCTTTACAGAAAAGGTGATTGGAGTAGGGAGGGATATATGCACTGAGATTCTGGCATGTGTATTTCTTCCACCAAATTGAATAATGAAATATGATAATTTCAGTTCTTATGCAGAATGATGGGTAAGAGTAGGCTGCGACGAGATTTGAAATCTTCTAATTAATATAACAAAAAGACTCAAACGTGACTTATTTTTGTTTTCCAAATGTGATAATTCATTCACGTGCATATGTGATATTTATTTAGTGCATGTAGCTTTGTCTTCATGATAATATCTGAGCCGGAATTAAACCTGCTGTCGGGGTTGCATTTACTGGCTTAGCCGTGGAGGGCAATGATGAAGGTTCAGTCATGCTACATGGATTCAATGGTTTCATGCATATGTAGAGTGAATGCCTATTTAATATCTAACTGACAAGGTAGGTTTTCGGTCTGCTGTGATTATTTGCTGGGAAGCAGTGAGACGGTATGATATGGTGTATTTAACCAAAACTTGAATGTGTACATATGTGATGCATGGTTGAAAGTTTTGGTCGTTAATAGAATCTGTATGAAACCTAAGGAAGTTAACCTCACATCCCCTTGTTTAGTTGTGGATCAATTACCTTTTGGAGAGCTAAGTGAACAAATCAAAGTGAATTCATTACAATTATGTGGCAAGTAAGATGCATATATGGATCTTGATTCATTTTATATGAGGGAAAATTATCCGTAACATTATTCACTTTTGGGTTTCCTAACTTCACGTTCAACGATTACAACATGTATAGCGTTAACATTCCACATCAAAATTACAATAAATGTAAGGTTACACTATAATCATCAAAGTTTACACAATATTGGTAAGGTTGTTTGGTCTTTATGTTTTGAACGTCCTATGACATTATCAAGGCATATGCTGTTATGCGTGAACGTGATGGCATAACAAAATCATTGTCAGACTCAGTACTGGTACTGTTTTATCAATAAAGGGTCCATTGAACTTATTACCAAACAAGGTTATATACTAGGGCCAATCTTACAATAATTTCCAAACCAATGAATCAATCAAAGGCGTGGGGGTGAAAATATAGGCACAATTTGATGGAAACATATCACACTGTATCACATAGCATACATTATTAGTTTATGTTGCAAAGAGAATACGGAAAGTGCAGTAGAAGATATGTAGAATTATATCCAAACCTAAATGTTATTCAATGAAGATTCCTATTTTATGCATCTAGGAGCTCATTACACTATATTATTGGGTAGGTTGGCAATTCCAAATTTCTGGCTTTGTACTGCGAGATTAATTTTTTTACTTGGCAACTTCTCAAGGAATAATTTTGGTTACATCTTGGGGTGGTAGTAGCACTGCTAAATTTTTTGGTTAATGATATTCTTCTTCTTGACATCTCATAAAGATCAAAAGCTTAAGAAATTGCACACTTTGACGTCCAAACATCTATATTGACTCAGTTTGTGTACAATATTTATCTTATATACTAAGGGTATTTTTAAGGGCTACTTTTGTCCGTGTCCTCTAGGTTTATAGGAGGTACAAGCAATACTATCAACAGATGCAGGCAGTGGCAAGGTCATTTGAGTATGTTGCTGGGCTTGGAAATGCTGCTCCTTATGCAAACTTAGCGATAAAAGCCCTGGCTAGACATTTTAAGTGTTTGAAGAATGCTATCACCGAGCAGCTTCACTTTAGAAGTCGGAATGCTACTCATTTAAGACATGAAAAAGATGGAAATCCAATACTTCATAGCAGAAGTGCTAATGGCCAGAGGTCCCTTCATAACTCTGAGTTTCTGGAGCACCAGCCTGTTTGGAGACCACAAAGGGGTCTTCCTGAGCGCGCCGTTACTGTTCTTAGGGCCTGGTTGTTTGAACACTTCCTGCATCCGTAAGTAATTATTGAGTTACTTGACAGTTTGTTAGTCTTTTCTTCAATGGGTATGAGCCTTTCATTAACAATAACAAAACAATGCAGCGTATGTGACATCTATTCTATTTCCGTGAAAAACAAATTGATTTCCAAGGAAGGAATTCATGTATGTAATTAGGTGAAATGGGATCCGTTCGACAATTGCACATACATCATTGGGGGTGGCTGAAGGTAGCTTGGAGGATCAGGAAGGCAAATGCAGCAAAGGCATTCCACACTTTTGCATGACAAGCACATCGCAAATATGCAAATGATACTGTTGAAACTCCTCCTCTAGCTGGCGCACTTCTTCCCGAGCTTCTTCTCGCTGGTGCACTTCTTCTTCTAGCTGGTGCATGGCCTCTAACTTCATCTCTACTTGCTGGAGTCTACAAGACGTCCCGCTTGGAGGTTGAGAGGTAGATGAAAAATATTTCCAGAGCTCCCGAACTCGACCTGCTTCTAAGATGCGAAACTCTCGGCCTTTTCGTTGCCCAAGCCCGTCTACCAGCAACTGTAGATACACATATGGATCAGGTGTCAACTGCTCCATTGGCGTGTCCAATTAATATTATCAATCATAATTTTAAAATTTTAAGTGTAATGAAATTTGAAATTAAAATTTTGAATGGAATACTTACATAAATGTCTTCAGCCACCTAAGTGCCATAATTGGCACGTGCATCCCCTCAGGTCTTGGCTTCTTGGAAAAGCAAACCCTTCTCACACCGTTCCTCGATGTGGAAAGTGAGGGGCAGAGAACAATGGAGATACTGCTTCACTTCCTGGTTACCCTTATTTGCCCTCTCTTTTCGCTGTGAATAAAATAAATTAATCTAAATAGATAAAAAATAGATAAAAAATAGATAAAAAAAAAAAAAAAAAAAATCTTACTAGAAATTTCGGGCCCTAAAAATGGCTGTAAGGCCAGTGCCACTCGTCTATCCTTTTCGCAGACTCTAGGGTGGATCGGTCGAGCTTCCACTGGAGATGCGCAAGTCTGGTAGTACAGGTGCAGCTCATACTTCCACTCCTTGTACTGCTCAGACCACACTCAGTTTATGTACTAGGACATATCCGGCACTTCCTCGTCTATCTCTAAGTTGATCTCTTTCTTCATCGCCTCATGCACCTCAGGGGCGAGCTTCCTCCATATAGGGGCAAGCATGAGACACCTGGTGCGGATGATGGCTTCCCTATTTTGCGTCAATAGACTATTGGCTTTCAGGTCCGTTCGCTGATGTCATGGGTGGTAAACTACCCACGATCTTGGCATGCGTTATGCGATAATCTGGTTTGAGGACAAGCCTCTACAGATCCCCTGCATATTCATTTTCTTCCCACCTCAGCTGAGAGTTCTCCGTCTCTGTCGGGGGCATGGTCGCCGAATTGGCATCAGCCTCCACCACATCACCAACGGGTGCTGGGTTGGCACAGCTCCGGGCTGTTTCCGACTGGTGAATACGCCTGCCAGATCGGGGTTCCCAGACCGATAAAGCTAATGGAGTGAACTTGACCGCTGACTCGGTCGTGGGCACCTGGGTATTGCTGGTTCCCGCCGGTGGAATATCAGCCATCTCTGCCTCCGAGTCATTATAACCCCAACTGGAGGCAAAGCGCCGACCAGTATGATCAATCGCGATGACATCCGTTGAATAAAATCACAATAAAGCTAACACTAATTTACAAAATTACATTATTTCAAAATTCATACAAAATCACATTGTTAAATGACATTATTTCATAAATTTCATATAAAAATTACAAAATTGTAATATTTCTTACAAAATTACAAATTTCTAATGTTTCTTACAAATTTCACAAACTTAAGAAATTTCCTACAATTTTCACACATTTCCTGTAAAATTACAAATATTTAATATTCTCTACAAATTTCGAATATTTCCTACAACTTTCTCAAATTTAACAAATTTAAAAAATTTCCTATAAATTTCTAATATTTCATAAATCTCCTACAAATTTCACAAATTTCCTTGATCAAAACCCAAGATTTTCACATGTTACTCGTATAAATCAGGGAGATGAGCAAACCTTCCTTTGGTAGTTTCGGAAGTTGAACATGACAGAGAGAGGGGAGTCTGCGAGAAGGCGAGTGAGCGAGAGGGCAGAGAGAGAGCACATGGAAAGAGAGAGCAAAGAACAACAACATTGCGAGGAAGAAGAAGAAGGTTCTAGGCCTAATTTTAAATTTCAGATAGATGCCTAACAAACCCATTCGTCGGGCAAAGGTTTTAAAATTGTGACACGTGTATTTTGACCAAATATTCCATCAAGCAAATGAACCCGTTCGTTGGGCAAAGATGCATAGAAATGTCCACATGGTTTAACTTTTAGCTAAAAAAATGGTGGGAAAGTGTTTTTACCCGACCAATTTTACAATATTTCATCGGCAAACCCTTTAATCCAGAGGAAATTTAATTTTTTGAGAAAAATGTGGATGTAATTTGAAAGTTTGCCCGACATATTTAGTACTGTTGCCCGACAACAGTGGTAAATTCACATTGAAGGAAAGAGCTCATTGAAAACTTGAAAATTTATGTGAAGGAAAACCTTTGACTTTGATTCAATCAAAGGAAAGAGCTCGATTTACATTGAAAACTTGTCAAGTTAATGGAAATTTTAGAGCAAATTGTGGGGAAATGATATGAGAAAAAGACTCGAGTGACATTCTTGGAAAGGGCGGAGCCAATATAGTCTAGATAGCTCTTGTGATGTGAATACAAACCAATTACACCGATATTTTATTTATTTTTATATGCATTTCACTATTTTTTTTTTGTCAAATGATAAATCCTATTAGATTAGATGTTTGATTAGCTACCAATGAATTTGAGCTTACGCCATCATACAAGAGTTTAATTTCTTTCCACCCATGTATCTTTTTCATTTATTTACTTCATTAACCATTACTATCTATTTCCAAAGGGCAAATAGCCAAAATGGTCCATGAGATTTGCATAACTCATCACTTTGGTCCCTAACATTTCAAATCAATCAAAGTGGTCCCTGAGATTGTCCACCATCCATCATTTTGGTCCTTCCGTTAAAAACTCTGTTAAGTGTTCCGGAACTCTTGATCGGAAGTTTGGGCAATTTTCAAAGCTTCGTAACTCAATCGTTTCTTAACCAAATTCGATCCATAATATATCAAAATGAAGATAGGAAAGTGTAGAATAAGATTATACCATTTGGAAGCCCAATGGTTGCCTGAGATGGCCGGAAAATAGCCTCAAAGTTGACTGGTCCGAGGAAAAACTGAAGAACTCGCCAGAAACTGGGTAAACTTTAAACGTTCATAATTTCTTCAATACTAAACGAAATTAAGTGATTCAAAAACTAAAATCATACTTCACGACAAGAAGAATAGAATGATACCTTTTTTGACGGCTAACTCACCTTGGTTTGGTCGGAAAACAGCTTGAAAGTGGCTGAAAAATGTATCATTCTATTCTTCTCGTCGTGAAGTATGATTTTAGTTTTTGAATCACTTAATTTCGTTTAGTATTGAAGAAGTTATGAACGTTTAAAGTTTACCCAGTTTCTGGTGAGTTCTCCAGTTTTCCTTTGAACAGTCAACTTTGACACTATTTTCCGGCTATATTCGGCAACTATTGGGCTTCCAAATGATATAATCTTATTCTACACTTTCCTATCTTCATTTTGATATATTATTAGTCGAATTTGGTTAAGAAACGATTGAGTTACGAAGCTTTGAAAATTGCCTAAACTTCCAACCAAGAGCTCCGGAACACTTAACGGAGTTTTTAACATAAGGACCAAAATGGTGGATGGTGGATAATCTCAGGGACCACTTTGATTGATTTGAAATGTTAGGGACCAAAGTGATGAGTTATACAAATCTCAATGACCATTTTGCCTATTTAGCCTTTCCTAAATAACCAAATCTATTCTACACTTCATATCTATCCATTTATGGTAAACCGGAACAATAATTACTTACTTTAATTGTACTTTTAATTCTTTTCATAAGAAGCTCATTGCATGTTTCAATTTTTCAATTATTTTATGCATAAATTTTATTAATTTAAAAAACTTTTACAGTGTATTAACTTTTTTTTGTATGTTTATGTTTATATGTATTTGTCATGTTAAAGGTCGATAAAAATAGAATAATTGGACGAGTTTTACTTATAAGATTATAGTAATGCTAGAAAGACTAAATTTGAAGACTAAAATTGCAAACTAAATGATATGTCACCAATAAAAATGAGCACGTCTATTAATATTTAAGTAATAAACCAGTTATGAACTTTCATATCCTTTAGTTATCAAAATTTAGTATCCAAATTAAGTCTCCTTAGCATTACTCATAAGATTATCGTAGAGCCATTTTTTTTAAGAGAGATTATATTCACATACCCCAAATTACATCACTAACCTTTGATAAAAAATATTAAAAAATTAAAAGAGCATGAGAGAAGTAATTTGAAATGTGTAAATATAATTTTTTTTTTAAATTTATATTTTTTATACTTTTTAGCTAGCCCATCAATCGTAAATTTTTTGACTACACCCTTGATTCTTTGTTCTTGATTTTTTTTTTTTCCATCGGTCATATGAATAATGAGGGAGAATTTCAGCTTTCTCGAAGTAACTTGAATGTTGGTCACATTGCAATTTCTATTCCCACACGTTGAATTTCACATACTCTTCTTGCATTTTGAATGGTTACGTATCCTAGATCCTTTAACAGAAGGGGTTCTCATTTAAAAAAAAAAAAGGGATACCCTTTATTGAATTGATTTTAATGAAATTATATAATTGAGGTTAAATTACATATCACACAATCTTAACCACATAATTTCTTTAAAATCAAATCTACCGGTCAAGAAAATGTATGGACACCCTCTTGTCAAAGGATCCGTACACAACCCAAAAGTCCGCAAACCCCTAGTTAGGGTTTCCACTTTTCTCAAAAAGTTCTCTCTCTGGACTCCTTCCCTGATTTTTCCAACTCCGTGACTGCATGGTTTCACCCAATTCCACGGATTCTATAAGATTCTCTTCAAACCGCCAAAACCCATGTGAGATCAGCCAAGTTCGGCCCGACCCAGTTTCGCAGACAGGGAAAAGATTGAAGCTTTCGAGAGGCAGAAGGAGAGAGATAGAGAGAGAGAGTTTTGGATATGGAAGCTCGAGTTGGGGTGGTGGAAGGAAGGCAGAGAGCTTCGAATTCAGCGCAGGGAGGCGTGGTGGATGGGGGCGCCAGGAAATTCTTGCAGCAGCAGAGCCAGGCGAAGCAGTCTCTGAATCAGCAGTCCCAGATAGGGACGGTGAACCAGCTCTTAGCCGGCGGTATAGCCGGTGCTTTTGGAAAAACCTGCACTGCACCTCTGGCTCGCCTCACCATCCTCTTTCAGGTTCTGTTCTTATTAATTTCAATGAATTTTTTGGTGCTAGTATTATAGTTTTGTGATATTGGGTTTTTTGGGTTTGTGTTTTCAAGCATTATTGATGTTTGATAAATGGGATTTTTAATTGTTAAAAGTTGGGCCTCTGTTTTTCTAATGGGGGTTATGAATTAAAGGGTTTATTTTTTGGAATTGTTGGTTTTAGTTTCCTGTAAGAAATGTGGAGGGTTGAGATTATGGTGAAAGAAAATACGGGGCACCGTGTGTTGAAGCCTGAAGATGTTTAATTGCCTTTGTTAGATTGGTGTTAGTTCAAAAATGTTCCTTTACACTTGTAAATTGACAAAGTTTTGAGAGTATTTCTTTGTGGAAATGACATGCTTAACTTAAGATAAACATTGCTAGAAAACGAAACTTTTGTTTCGGTGATTTTGTGTGGAGTAGAACCGTGGAAATTGTGTTGGAATCTGGGGTTTCAGAAAATGATTAAGAGCAGAGAAGTTTCCATATAATTCAATCGCTCGTGGGTTTATGTTTTGCAATGATGTTCGTGGTGGGAAGCCGATTTCATTTCATTACTCTGTAGCTATTTATAGTTAAGGCTGGCAATCATCCTTGGTTTAAAAAGATGAATTACCTAATGGCACATTTGGACGAGGGACTTTGTTCATGGGACTAAGGCTAAATTTGTTAGGGACGCACTACATACTAGAGAGGGACTTGAAAGTCACTAGATGCAATACATTTGAGAGAAATTTCAAATGACACCTTGAAAGGCTAACTTTGTATTGCATTTTTAGTATTTCAGTAGTTTGTAGTGCAATTTTTGACAATTGAGCATAAAGTTCCTTGGAAATTTAAAGCCCTCATCCAAACATAGGACAAGGATGGACTGCTACATATCATTATGTGTGAGTGTGGGATTTCTTTTCATTGAACTTTTCTCTTGAGCGGTGCTAGTGATGTTCCTGTTTGAAGGTTGTTAGTTGACTATTCCATCATTTTCTTCGATTAGGTGCAAGGAATGCACTCTGACATTGCAGCATTGAGTAAGGCTAGCATATGGCATGAGGCTTCACGTATTATCAATGAAGAAGGGTTTAAAGCATTTTGGAGAGGCAATCTCGTTACCATTGCTCATCGTCTTCCATATTCTGCCGTCAGCTTCTATGCTTATGAACGCTACAAGACCGTGAGTTAATACATACCTTGACTAAATTCTAAGCTTGTTAAGTACAAATCGATTTTATACTTGCAGTTTTCTCCGGTTTCATCTGACCTCTTTTTGTATTGCAGTTGCTGCATTCACTTGGTGGTGAAAATTTTAGGGGTAATGCAAGTACTGACATGTGTGTGCACTTTCTCGCTGGTGGGATGGCAGGGTTAACCGCTGCCTCAGCCACATATCCACTGGATCTTGTTAGGACACGTCTTGCAGCCCAGGTAATGCTAAGATATTATTTTGTGGGTTAAGATTTAAAAACTAAGAAAAAAACCCAATTCTCATTATAATGTTGACTTATAACTTTCGTTCCCTTTTTTTTTTTTTTTTTCAGTTTGAGTTTCTTAATGTATTCTAATTTTGTAGAGAAATGCACCATACTACAGAGGTATTGGACATGCATTTCATACAATTTGCAGAGAAGAAGGTTTTTGGGGATTGTATAAAGGACTTGGAGCGACACTGTTGGTATGCTTTATTATGCATATTTTCTCATTTATTCATCTTTTATGGCTCACTTCTTCATTCCGTTGACCATAAATTCTATTTGTCTTTTTGTTGGGGTACAGGT